ATATAGGAAAGCACAACAAGCAGAGCAAGCAACAAGACTACAGCAACCGAGGGCCTACCTCAACAAGCCCCAACTGCACACAGAACCTGTGGTGGTCACCAAGCGCTAGGGCCTTGGTGAAGACGTCTGCAGTGTTGGCCTCTGAGGCCACAAAGTCCAGGCGTGCCTGGCCGCGTCGCTGCAGCTCTCGCAGGAGGAAGTACCTCACGTCAATGTGCTTCACTCTGCTCTCCAGTCGAGGCTCTCGACAGAGGAGGATCATGGCCTTGTTGTCAGCATACAAGGTCGGTGCAGAGCGAGGCCGCTCACCAAGGTCAGCGAGCAAGAAGGTCAACCAGCGAAGCTCCTATGCCGCCATGGCACCAGCGTAGATCTCTGCCTCTGCACTGGAAGTAGCCACAGACGACGACCGTGTAGACCTCCACGACACAGCACCAGCTCCCAGACTGAAGCAGTAACCCTGAGTTGAGCGCTGAGTCTCCACGTCGTCAGCGTAGGAAGAGTCACAGTGACCAGTCAACGCCACTGGCGGAATCCCTCCAAGCACAAGCCCCATGCCTGATTTAGTTGCCAGGTACTTCGCCACCCTCACAGCAGCTGTCCAGTGGACAGGACGGTGTCTCCCAGTCGCAACAAAATGAGAAACTATGCTAAGGGGAAAGGCGAGGTCCGGCCGAGTACAAGTCATCAGGTACATGAGGCAGCCCACCAGCTCTGCGTAGGGACCACTGGACTCAAAAGGCTCGTCGGGAAAGGGGCCAGTGAGTCTGTGGTCAACAGCAAGAGGTGTGGGCTGTGTGGTGGAGAACTGGAAGTCGAACCGCCGAAGGACCCGCTGCACCATGTGTGACTGAGTCAGTGTGATGGTGCGAGCGGCTCTGTCCCTGGTGATCTGCAGGCCAAGGTAGCGTTGCAGTTCACCTAGGTCAATGCACTTGTGTCTCTTCTGCAGTTCGGACTTCACCTGAGCCAGAGCTGCCCTATCTGCTGTGGCAAAGGCCAAGTCGTCGACGTACACTAGTATAAAGAAAGGAGTGGAACCAGTGCGAACAAACAGCGACGGGTCGGCAGAGGAAGGACAAAACCCAAGTTCACGAAGCGTGGAGCGAAGAGTGTCGTGCCACTCACGGGGCGACTGGCGGACACCGTAGACTGGCTGTCTCAGGCTCCACTGGGTCCCAGGTGGGAAGGTGTCAGTGAAGCCAGGAGGGCGGCGCAGCCATATCTCCTCGTGTAGCCGGCCCTGGTGAAACGCAGTAGAGAAGTCAAGGGAGTGCAGCTCGTAGTCTCGCTGTGCTGCTACGTGCAGTAACACCCGAAGAGTAGTCATCTTCGGGGTCGGGGCGAAGGTCTGGAAGAAGTCAACTCCCTCACGCTGACTGAAACCCCTAGCCACGTAGCGCGCCTTGAACACAGGCGGTGAACCAGGCAGCCGCTTCACCTTGAAGAGCCACATGCCATCGACTACGTTCGCCCTGGGAGGGGGAACTGCGTCGACGTAGGTGCCTGTGGATCTCCAAGACGCTAACTCCGAGGCCATAGCCGCTTTCCACTGTGAGGCCCACGCCCCTGACACTGCCTCGCGGTAAGTGCGAGGAGTCGGTATGTCAAGGGCGTCAGGGTCTCCCTAAGGGGATAGCAGCATGGCACAGACAGAGGGAGAAGCGGCTGCCCAGTACTCCAGCTCAGACTCTCTGTCCTCTAGGACGTCACAGCCAAGGGCAAACTCACCCCCGACAGACAGAGGACGGGAGGGAGGAGCTGGCACCACACGGGTGGTCTAGCCAAGGCGATTGGCGGCAGCAAACTCAGCGACAGCAGCAGTGAGAGCCGAGACAGACGACAGAGGGAAACGAGAGTCGGTGACAAGAGTGGCGAGCACACGAGAGACAACAGGACGAACAGCACGGTAGTATTCAGTGACAGGAGTAGGGGGGAAAGGGAGAGAGGACGGAGGAGGAGACGGGAGAACGGACGCAGGAGGAGGACGACGAAGAGACGAACAAACGAGGGCAGTGCGGAGGTCGGTAACGGGAGACGAGTGACGAGCACGCGGAGGACAGGGACGGACACGAGAGTGTGGGACAGCGCGCGGAGGAGACTGCGGTGGAGGAGAAGACCAGACTGCCGGACTGTCGTCAGGAGGAGGAAACGTGGGACCAAACGCTGGAGGGGACGGAGTGTGAACAGGAGGAGAGGAGGGAAGACCAAGGGCCCGAAGGCCACTCACGGGTGGGAACAACTGCCGCTCCAGAGGGAGCTGCGGTGGGCACGTCTGCGGCGGCGGTGGCTGCTAGTCACGCGCTACCTCACTAGTCAGCGTCAGGACGGCGCCACCCTGTGGGCCCACGCGTCTGTTGCTCTCAAGGCGCCCCTGTCTCCCGGGCTAGGGGCTAGAGGCTAGGAGCAAAGTGCGACCCGGGTCGAAATCTAGTGACCGGAGCGAGAAGCGGCTGCCAGCCGCGGAGTGAGAAGCCAGTAGCAGTACGAACGGTTTTAGCCCGGGAGACAGGGTGGTGGCTAGGTGAGAAGGGGTGGTTGGGACGTTAGGAGGAGGTGGCGCGTGGGTTAGGGCGCGGCCATTGGCGAGGGCGTTGGTAGGGCGCTCGCTAAGGTGGGGGGCGAGGGCTAAGGCGAGGGCGCGGGCCTAGGCGAGGGCGCGAGCTGGGGCGACGGGCTAGGGCGCGGGCCTGGGCGACGGGCTAGGCCGCGGGCTTGGGCGACGGGCTAGGGCGCGGGCAGGGGCGACGGGCTAGGGCGCGGGCCTGGGCAACGGGCTAGGGCGCGGGCCGGGGCGACGGGCGAGGGCGCGGGCTGGGATGACGGGCTTGGGCGCGGGCCTGGGCGACGGGCTAGGGCGCGGGCCTGGGCGACAGGCTAGGGCGCGGGCCTGGGCGACGCGCTAGGGCGCGGGCCTGGGCGACGGGCTAGGGCTCGGGCCTGGGCGACGGGCTAGGGCGCGGAGGCCGCGGAACGGTGAGGAGGGCGCGCACGACAGTGGGGAGGGGCGGTCGACCGTGGGGAGGGGCGCTAGGAGGGCGCGAAGGCGCGGAGGGGGCGGCCTGGCTAGGAGGGCGCTAAGGCGCGGAGGCGCGGAGGGCGCGGAAGGTGCTAAGGCGCAAAGGGCGCGGAGGGCGCGGAGGGCGCGGAGGGCGCTAAGGCGCGAAGGCGCTAGGCTAGGTTGGGTAGGGTGGGGAGCTAGGAACGCAACCTACTCGGATACCATCTCAAAATCTAGACACAACGGAATGAATTGACTAGCAAGGGAATGGGGTACAAATATGGAAACCTAAAAGCTGTACCCCCTAGAAGGCACATCACTACAGCCTATTACAAATAATAACATTTGACACAACCTCCTTCAACCTCAACGGCTACGTGGATGCAGATCATGCCGCTGATCCTGAAAATCGACGGTCTCGAACCGGTTTTGTTTTCCGCCTGGAACCAACAGGACCAATCTCCTGGAACTCGTAGAAGCAGGAGCTGGTTGCCCTGTCATCGGCCGAAGCAGAATACATCGCCGCGACAGCAGCAGTTCGCGAAGGCCTGTACCTGCAGGAGTTACTACTGGAATAAAAAATCCCAACTTCGCCCACCTTTCGCCTTCACTGCGACAACCAGAGTGCCATCAAGATTGCGAACAAGCCAGGGTTCGTGAACCGCACGAAGCACATCGCGCTTCGGTACTTTTTCGTCAAGGACGAAATTGATCAGGGCAAGGTTGACCTCACGTACTGCCCCACCACCGAGATGGCAGCCGACTTTCTCACCAAGCGACTGCCACGTCAACAGTACAAGCACTGTTCCGACCTCACCGGAGTGGTCAAGCGAGTCAGCCCTCTGCACGCCCAGGAATGAAGGGGAGTGTTACGATATGAAACTTTACGAGAAGACATTCCTGTATGCTACAGGGGCCGACTCTAAAGTGTATGAAGCCGAGGAGTCAGAAGAGTCGAAGCGACACTGGTAACCGTCTGATCAAGACCGATGCAGGCAGAAACATTCGAAGTGAAAAGAGCGGGAACAGGTTTGAAACGGGTTCCCGCGCCGCACGGTTTGAACTTCGCTGTAATAAGGGAATGTACCCTTTAGAGTACATGGCTAGTCTAGGTCGTTTCGTATGCCTTTGTATTTCCTACATAAACCCAATGTATGCATGCTATTATCAATCTCAGTCATTTACATTCACTCTGACCTGAGTTCACTACGTCCGCTGCAACATTACCCTGCGATCAACCCTGATTTAGGCTGCGGGTTTTAAAGCCGTTGGCCCAAATTGCACAAGTTTTAAAAGGTTGACGGGGAGGAAGTTTTGTTTTTGGGGTGTGGCGAGAGGTCCTATTTCGTCAAACTCGTTTTTGGGATTGTAACACACATAGACCAGCAGCAAGCAACCCTCTACTCAAACCCGTTATATTCCACAACCCCACCCCATACTTCTGTCCACGGCTTCCTTCCACCCACCACCTTTGACACCTCTATATACCGTGCACTGTTATCACTAGGTTCTCCCTCCATTCCCACTCCCTCTTAGGGGATTCATGTTACTGAGCAGTACGAATCTCGCAACCAGCCTAATTCCACCAAGAAATACCCCCAGCCGCACAGTCCAGCAAAGAGAACAAGCTTTAGTAGTTTTTCCACCTTGCAACCACCGACACAGAGACCGGCGGCCGGCAGCACTACATAAATAGGCAAGCGTAGAAGCCTGCAAGAGCACAAGCACACACACACACGACACGAGTATACGGAACACCATGGTGGTGCAGAGGCTGGGCTGGGAGGGACCTATCCACATCCACAAGCCACGGCCCACGCCCCCATCACAACCAGCAACCTCCCGTCCACCACCTCAAACTCCCCCCAACCTCCTCCCAACCCCCTTCCTCTCCCTCCTCCTCCCCCCCTTCCCCCACTCTCTCCCCCGGCTTCCCCCACTCTCCCCCCCCCCTTACCCCTCCCCATCCCATGTCCCCATGACCACCACCCGCTCACCCTCATCTCCCCCCCCACCCCCCACCCCCGCCCATGCCCCGGCCTCCATCCATTTCGCTGATCTGATCCCTCCGACTCGGTCCCAGCAAGCGCCCCTCCTCCTCGCCCTCCCGCTCCCGCAGCGCCTGGCGGTGCTCCTGCTGCGCCTGCAGCAGGCGCTGCTGGTGGTGCAGGTGGTGGTCGTCGTATCGCAGGAACGTGGGCTGGCTCGTGGACGACAGCAGCCGTGCCCACATGCGGTCCGTTAGAGACACTGTGTTGCTCTTCTCAGATACACACTGTTGGGGGGGGGGGGGGAGGAGGGAAAGAGGGAAGCAGGAGAGCGGGAAACAGGAGGGCAGGGGCAGGGGTAGGGGCATGGGCAGGGACAGGAAAGCAGAGACAAGGTCAAGGCTGGAAATGGAGGCACCCAAGCGGCAAGCTTGCAGACCACACACCAACACTAACAGCCCATATTTTTATTGCAGCAGCAGCAGCAGCACTAGCAGCAGCAGCTGCAGCGGCAACAGTAGTACCAGCAGCGCGTGCACCTTGATGGGGATGTAGGCGTGGCGGCCGTTGATGGGGCCGACGGTGAAGCCAGTGAAGCCCGCCATGGAGCCGTGGATGGCGCTGTGTGCCAGCAGCGTGCAGTAGATGTTGTCACTCGCATTCGCCGGCACCGCTCGAATCATGTACGTGGGGTCTGGTGCACGGGGTGAACGGCGGGGGGGAGCGGGGGAGAGAGCAGGGAGGAGATGGGGAGGAGAAGGCGAGGAAGAGGTGAAGAGCACGGGTGTGGTGATTTCTTTTGAGCCGACTCAGTAGTATGATGCTTTTGTGGACGGTGGGGAGGGGGGTGGAAAGGAGGCGAAGGGTGCGGAGGGAAGGGGACGGAGGGAGAAGGATGGAGGTGCCTTGTATGTGGTTGAAACATGCACAGCACACGGCAGATCCATACTGGAATTTTGGAGGGCGATGAAAAACGGGCGAAGATATATTCATGAAAGCGACGTGAGTGTGTCCGTGTGTATGTATATACTACTATGTATGGGAAAGGATCATTTGAGGCGCCTCAAAGATGTGCATGAATGTGGAATGTGGCACATGCCCGCACGCACGCACCAATGTATTTGAGGTTGAGCTCTATGCGAGACTTGGCAAAATGTGCCTGCATGTGATGAGGGGCGATCCAACCACCCATGCACCCAACCAAGCAGACAAAACCAAACGGGGGAAAGCAAACATTGTTGGAAAAGAACACGAGGATGTTAGGTGCGGGGACACTAAATGCGTGAAATAAGGAGACACAGAATGCGACACAGATCTTAGATGCTGTTTGAATTGGAGGGAAACGAAACACACAACCTGTGCTTCGCCATACAACCATCCCTTCCTCTCTCTATCTCCATCCTCCCCTTCCGCTGCTTTTCCATCCCTAAACAACCTCTTCCAAAGCATCCCAAAGCATCCCACCCCACTCTTCCATCCTCCCCTCTCTCACCCCCAACCTCCAAACCTTTGAGTCCCTCCCACCTTCCCCATTCCGCTTTCCCCCTCCCTTTGCGTTTCCCCTCCCCCTTCTGTTTCCACTTCCCCCTTCTGCTCTCCCCTTCCCCTTCCCCTTCCCCTCCCCCCCCCCTCACCTTGATCTGCTGGGACAGCCACAGCCCGATATCCATCAGTCTCGCATTCCCCGACTCGTCAGTCAGCCCTCTCCTGCCCATCCCACCCGCCGCCGTCGCCATCCCCCCCGCAGCCGCCGCCACAGCCGCCGCCGTCACCGCCGCCGTCCCCCCTCCCCCCATCCCGTCCATGCCCATGCCCATGCCCATCCCGCCGCCGCCCCCCATTCCTGCGAGCGCACTCGGCGAGGACGCCGACGGGAAGGGCGCCGACGCAGCAAAGGACGAGGAGAACGGGGAGTGCGAGGAGGAGGAGCCAGAGGGGGAGAGCTGGAGATCTAGAGCCTCTGCCATGATGTCTTGCCCCGCGCCCTCCGCCACCACCAGCACGGCATGCCCACTCTCCCGCAGGCGGCGCTTGAGGAACTCAAACAGCCCGCCGTCGCCCTCCAGGTGAAATGGCACCTCGGGGATGAGGCAGCAGTCCTGTGAGTGGGGGCAGAGGGTTGGGGAAAGGAGGGGTTGGGGCAGAGGCGGTGGGGGAGCGGCGGGGGATAAAGGCGGCGCTTGAGGAACTCAAACAGGCCCCCGTCGCCCTCCAGGTGGAACGGCACCTCGGGAATGAGGCAGCAGTCCTGTGAGGTGCGGTGGGGTGGGGAAAAGGGGCAGAGGCAGTGGGGGAGCAGTGGGGGGTTGATGGGGCGCAGTGGGGGTTGCAAGCCAGGTGGAACGGCACCTCGGGCATGAGGCAGCAGTCCTAACAGTGGGAGGGGGCGTACGTGGGGGGAGGAAGTTGCGGGGTTGGTGTAGGGATGGTGTGGGGGTGATGGGAGTTGCGGGCGAGGGGGAGGGAGGGGCAGGGATGAGTGCGATTACAGGGGGGAAGAAAGAGGGTTTTGAGACGAGCAATTTCCAACGTGTTGAGGCCTTTGAGGTACGCAAAGCAGGGGAACGCAAATGGGACGTGAGGACGATCGAGACGTCTCATATATATGTGCGAACGGAGACGGGCTCTGGGAAACACAGAAGGGAGCAGGGATGAGGAGCGAGTGGATTTGGGGCAGCGAGGGACAGAAACTGTGCAGCACAGGAGATGAGTTGGTCTGTTTCAATTCGCACTAATTATATTCAATTTTGAAAGAATTGAACTGATTTCATTTTGGATTGGCAGCAGCACGTACCACGTCTCGGCTGGCAAGTGTTGCATGCATGGCAATTTGACCTGAACGCACACACAGCACACGAATGAGAAGGCAGGAGCGAGATGAGGAGCGAGATGAGGAGCGAGATGAGGAGCGAGATGAGGAGCGAGATGAGATGAACGAGATGAAGTGAGCGGCAATGGAGGGTGGAGGGACACAAGTCACAGCAGAAAGAGCAAAATGAGTGGTAAGGCACAAGATAGTTAACAAAATTATTCCAAACTGAACAGAAGAGGCAGAATAGCTCGAATCGAACCAGCCCACCAGATGCACCCCCTCCCAGGTCCCATTACTCCCTCTCAACCCTCTCCTCCCTGCCCCACGAGAAAAGGCATACCCAGCCCAGACCCACCACGAAAAAAAGTGCACGAAACAGAGCAGAAGAGTCGGAATGGCTCGAACCAGCCCAGACCCACCACCCCCTCCCAGGTCCCATTACTCCCCCTCAGCGGGGGAGCAGCAACGCGCCTAACGTCACACCTCCTTCCCAACCCCCAACTCCCCCTTCCCCTTCCCCCTCCCTCCCCTTCCCCTTTCCCCCTTCCTCCCCCCCCCCTCTTCCCCCTCCCTCCCCCACCTCTCACCGCAGAAGCGCCCCATGAGCTTGACGAGCCCCACGCCATTGTGCACGGAGCTGGCCTCCACGTGTGCGGCGTTGATGGCGCGCTGAGCCTCCTCCACGGCCGTGTCGAAGCCAAACGACTTGTCGATCAGCGCCAGGTCGTTGTCTATCGTCTTCGGTATGCCCGCCACCGTCACCTTCAGCCCGCGCGCTGCTATCTCCTGTGGACGGAAGGCGCCGGGGGGGGGGAGGAGAGGAGGGGAAGGGAGGGGAAAGAGGGAGGGGGGGAGGGAGGGAGAGCGGGGAAAAGGGGGAGGGGGAAGGCGAGGATGTCGAGACGGGGTTGAGGAGGGCCGAAGGAGAGCTGCCTGTCTGTTGCAGGAACAACGGAGACGAGCTCAACAATAAAAGAAAAGCCAGGAAAATGAACAAATAGATAAATAAAGCACCGACAGAAGGGGGTGGGGTGGGGGTGAGTGAGTGTGTGTGGGGAAGTGGGGGAGAGTAAGGAGGAGAGGAGGGGAGGATAGAAAGTAGAGCCAGGGTTTTCAGCCAAGCTGGGAGAGCATACGCGACAAGCTCTCAAGGGCAAGCTTTAGACAGGTCCTGTGTATGGTTCTAGGGCAGCTGAAGGTTTACGAGGTAGGCTTGTCAAGGAAGAATGTGTATGAGCGGCAGGGCGTGTTACCTCGTGGATTTTCTCGGCGCCTCTTTGCGTGCCATCCCCTCCAATCACATAGATCTGACATGCACACATGACAGCACAAACGGGATCCATGCGCATGCCCACATGCATTCATCCATGAACACACCTCCATACGCACAAGCACAGGCATGTGCATACACACACCCGCAACCGCACCCACCCAACACACACACGCACAGGCACTTGCACACAAGATTAGGCGCCCACAACAGCCACGAGAGCGGGCATTCATGATTGCGTCTGCTCCATGATTAATGATTGCGTTTTGGGCATCCACTGCGTTGCTACATGATTCCCATTACACTGTGTGCGGTCTGTGACACATGTTCCAATCCGGTCCAGTTGCTCTGCATGCATACACACATGTAGTCTCCACACATCTCTCAACACACAATCCGAATAGCGGAATATGTGCTGGTCACACCACACCACACCACACCACACCACACCACACCACACCAGCGCGCGCACCTGGTTGATACCGCGGTCCTCGAGTGCGTTGACGATCTTGTTCACCTCGTGCCCGCCGCGCGACGTGCCCAGGAACGTGCCGCCGCGCTTGTGAATGTCGTTCACCACCTTGGGGTTCAGCGACACCACGTTGCGCGAGTAGATCCCGCGGTACCCACCCTGCTCGCCCATGGGAGGGGGAACGAGGGCCAGGGGAGGGGCGGGGACAGGAGGAGGGAGTGGAACGGAGGGGAGGGGAGGGGAGGGGAGGGGAGGGACGAGAGCGAAGAAGAGGAGAGTGGAGTTTAGAGGCGGTGGAAGCAGCTTGTGAATGCCGTTAATCACCTTGGTGAAGATCACGAGCACGTGGCAAAGCAGATCTCACGATGCAGCAAGCACAGAAGCACAGACTCACATCCACCCGTCACCACTACCCATGAATCCTCCCAGGCCCACCCATCCATACACCCCCTCCCTCCGCCCGCTCCCGTTTTCCTCATTCCCCTTTCCCCTCCTTCCCCCCCTCCTTTTCCCGCTCCTTTCTCCCCCTACTTCCCACCTTTCCCCCTCCTCCCCCACCCTGCGCGCACATTAATCCGAGGATGTCGCGCACGCCATATCGGAACCAGAGGCCCCAATAGCCTACCGACCATCTTATCCCCATGTACCAACAATGCATCCCCCCAACCACAACACCCCCTCCCCTCTCTCCACGCGCCCCCCCTAAGACAAGGCAAGGCAACGCACGTCAATCCCGAGGATGTCGCGAACGCCGTACTGGAACCAGAGCCCCCACACGAGCTCGCGGATGACGGTGTTGATGCCCGGACACAGCCCGCCGCAGGTCACGATCGCCGCGCGCACCTCGTCCGGGTGGAACACGATCTGCCGCGCGCGCGTACGCACGCGGGAGGCGGGAGGCGGGAGGCGGGAGGCGGGAGGCGGGGAGGCGGGGAGGCGGGGAGGCGGGGAACGGAGAAGGTGGAGACGGGAAAGGGTGGATAGATTTGCATGCGCTTCGAAACACGGTAGCACGCACGCGACCTCGATTAAGGTAAAACGAGATCTGAGGCGCGCAGGCGGGAGGTGGGGGGAGGGGCGGTTGACGGGTATACACGGGATTGAGCGACTGGGTGGAGATGCGAGGGGAGGGATGCCCGGAGGAGGAATGCGAGGGGGAGAAACGCTCGGAGTGGAGAGATACGAGGGGTCGACACGAAGAGGGGAAGGGAATGCAAGGGGAGGAAGAAAGGCGAGGGCGGAACGCGGCGGAGAGGCGGAGGGGCGGAGTGGCGGAGGGGCGGAGTGGCGGAGCGGCAGGCGGACCTTTTCTCTGGGGCCGGCTTTGCGGAAGAAGACTCCGGTGCCAATGTTGTTGATGGACGTGATGACCTCGCGACTCACCACCTGATCCTCCTCCACGAAGAACGTCCTGATGTACGCACGCACACGCACAGACACACACAGGCGAACGCAAACCACGGGCAGACACGGGCAGACACGGGCCGGCACGCGCACGAACGCGAAAACGCGAGGACAGGGCAGCGCATGGAGATTGGAAGGTGAGGGCGCGAGGAGAACGAAAGCAACGAGACGAGGAGATTCGAGGTCGGAGAAATTGCAGTAACACCCACTGCGGCTACAGCTATGGCTACAGCAGACGGTTACAGGAGACGACTACAGCAGACGGTTACAGGAGACGACTACAGCAGACGGTTACAGGAGACGACTACAGCAGACGGTTACAGCAGACGGCTACAGCAGACGGGCTACAGCAGACGGGCTACAGCAGACGGGCTACAGCAGACGGGCTACAGCAGACGGCTACAGGAGACGGCTACAGCAGACGGGCTACAGCAGACGGCTACAGGAGACGGCTACAGCTACGGCTACAGCAGACGGCTACAGCTACGGCTAAAGTGAGCAGCGGCGCGGTTGTGGCAGCAAGGTGCAAGGACTCACTCCACGTGCGCGTATGCAGGGTTGCGTTGCAGCGGACTTGGATACAGCTGCGCACAGCCGCAAAGGCGTGGGGAGGGGGGAGAATCGGCGAAGCGGAGAGGGGAGAGGGAGGGAGAGAGGGCAGGGGGAGGGTGACAGGAGAAACAAAGCGAGAAAAGAAAGGTCACTGCGTAGTGCGTATCTCAAGGGTTGTGAAGAGATTCGAGACGAACGAGAGAACGAACGACAGGGGAAACGGAACGAACGCCAAACTTCTAGCATGAACCTCTTGACTCCGACCCCACCATTGCCCAGAGCACGCATCCGTACGGATCCGTTTGTTTGTTTGTTTTTCTTTGTACTTTGCTTGTTTACTTAATTGTTTTGTTTTTCACTTTCTCTATTTGTTTACAACCTAAACGTACCCGGAGATCGGGGATCCAGTTCGCGAGGTGAGGCACGTCTTCGATCACGGGGCGCGCTTCAGGCATTGCGGGTAGACTGTCCGTCTGCACAGGCACCGGTAGCGTCGTGTTCGGATCGACCTCAACCTCCGCCGCCGCTCCCCCTGAGGAGCCGGCGGAAGCGGTAGCAGCGGGCGATCCGCGGTTAGCGGAGGCGGAAGCGGCGGGGGCGGCTGCCAATGCCGGCCTAGCTCTGCCATCCCTGCTGACGGCCGTAAAGGCCGCTCCGCTGCTCATAAGCGGAGATTCCATCGACCGGACCTGTGCGACCGCTGGTTGAGCGTGAGCGGAGAAGCCGCGGGAAACCCGGAAGGCGGCGTTGGCGGCGTTTACGGCGGCGGTAGCAGCTGCGGAAGCTGACGACGCGATCAACCCCGCTGCTGCTGCAGGGCGCGAGGCGAAGGGAAGAACGATCGTGCTGCTGCTAGCGGCTGCGACAACACCGGTGCTTCTATAAACGAGGGCGTGACGCATCCGCGATGTTTCAATAGCGAGAGCGCGTTTTCCGGCGTCCTGATTCATGGTGTCGGCTAATATGCCATGTCTTCCCACTACTCGCCTCGCTTTGCTGGAACTGCTGCTTTTACTGCCCAAGGTCCCGCCGTCGCTGCTGTTTTCGCGCCAACCCTCGTAAACCAAGCCGTCGCCTGGGTTGCAGGCATAAGAGTTACATGGCTGCAGCAACTTCGGCTGTTGTTGCTGTTGCTGCTGCTGCCGCTGCGGCTGCTCATCTTGAGGACGTTCCCACCTCCCTAATGCGGTCCCCGCGGTAAGCGCAGGTACCGCAGAGGCAGAATCTGAGCACGGACTCCCTTGCGCGCAATCCAGCGCATGCTGCTGCGCATATGGCGCAGCTAAGCGGTCAATATCGCAGGGTGGAAGGGGATGAGCGGAGTAGGTACGCGGGTTGGCGGAAGGGGAGTGGAATCGGGGGAGCAACAGCAGTGGAGACTCCCCACTGGCAAAGACGATTCGAAGCAAAGGAAGAGCGGCAGCAGCGGGAATTCTAGTGGAAAGGGGACTAAGAGGGTCCATGAGGGGAGGTAGGGTTGGAGAGGCGAAGAAAGGCCTAGATCTTGAAATAAATACTAGACGCCCGCGGGGCGACCCTAAGATTAGGTTGGCTGCCGATCCCAAGGGTAGGGTGGTTTGAGCTAACAGAGAAAGTTGGCAGGGCGCAGTAATAGAGATAAGGAGGAATAAGTTACAAGTACTCCGATCCCAGCATATGGCGTTCCGTTGCAAGGAAGTAAAGAACGCCCGACGGATCTATTGGTCGCATTTTCAGCGACTCCAGGCGAAGTTCGCCAGCCTAGTAATCCTATTCTAGACAGTACCAGGCAGAATGCGTGAAGCCAGGTCTACGAAGCGCTCACTCGATCAACGTACCCACGCCAGTCGTGAGGTATGACCAACCAAACACACGTCTGAGTGAATCCGCTGGTCTTGTGTTTCCTCGGCTGTGTTGGGCGGATGGTTGGTGGGTGGCAGAGGAGGATACAAGCGGCGTGCGGGGCATGGGGACAGCGCGGAACCCGACTGAACGAGGGGAGAGGCCTTCTGTCCGCCGCGCTGGAAACCACAGACCGACCTTCCCTTCCCCCGTTTCCGACGCAGCAAGTTGACTCTGGTTTGGAAACATGCCTGTGTGTGCCCTAAAATTTATGGCAGATAGTAAAATCCTGGGTTTCCCAAAATAAAGAATAATGATCGTTGATTTCTGAATTCAGCAATTGTACATTATACGGAATTACTTAAGAGCTGCAAACGACTCCAAGCACCTTCAGAATGGGGTTGGTTGGTTCAGAACGATTCCAAACACGTAGGCGTATGGTAGCAGCACTTGGCGAGAGGCCGGGTGGTGGGTGGGTGGGAGGTCGCATCTTCTGCGAAACTATTTTCCAGTTCCGTCAGTATTTCGCCATGGTGAGATCCCGTTACCCGTACCCCCGTCTCCACGGGTTACGGAAGCATTTGCAGTGCTGACAGGCGCGACAGGTCAGCGGACGAGAACGAGTTGGTGAGAATCTCCTGGATCATATGGAAAGTGCCTCATGGTTTGCTGAGTTTTGACTTGCGAAACGTGTGCAGCAAGTTTCTCGCACTCTTACGTGTGACAGAACAAAGACGCGCGAAGAACTGAATTAAACGCCAGTTTCTATGCCCCGCTGGCACTGGTGGCAGCGAGGCAGGCAAATAATGGTGAAGGACATGGGTGGTGGCAACACTTCGTATGTGCAACAATCGGCGCGCATTGTCCAGGATAACACTGTGACTGGTTGTGAGTTGGCTTCCGAAAATTATGCGGAATCTCAAGCTGACGTGTTCTTCCAGAGAGCCCTCAAACCCAAGTGCCGACAAGCAAGCACCTAATTGCAATACATAGTTTATAATATAACGCATTCTTGCTTGATGTATTTTTCCGAAAAAGATATGTAGGAATCATGGGAAAATCCATTAGCATTTGTAGGAATTGGAGCAAAGTGCTAAGAGAATGAAAAACGACCATAAATTACAAATGCCAAACAGAAGTCAAGCACCCTCAATTTATGTCCCTATCGTCAAATTAGGCGAAAGCGCCCTTATAAAATTGCAAGCAATAAAAATCATGCTAATATAGTGATTCTACTGGAACAAAATAGCAAAACACAGTAATTAAGAAGATTGCTCATTTAGAGTCAATCAACAACACGAGGGCGGATGCAACAAGCAAACTTGGCAGCCCCCCGATTCCTAAGCAGCAAGCGACCCGGTTCCTGCACATCAAAAGCCGAGACACAGCAAAAAATGGTCACCAACAGAAACAGCCATAAGACCCGTGCAAAAAACCCACGAGCCAGTACAGCGGACAGCAAGACATGGAAGAAGGGGAAGATAGTAGCTTACCGGCTCGTCATCGTCGTCGTCCCCCCCCTCCAACGTCCGCTTTTGCCCGCGGGGCGTTCCCCCTCTGCTCCCACCCTCCTGGTCCTTGGGTGTCCCTGCCTCTGACGTCGCAACGTCACCACCGCCTTCCTTCTTGTGCTGCACCTGTGACTCCTGCGCAGCATTCCCCCCACCCTCCCCTCCTTCACCCTCCTTCCGCTCCCCACCCCTTCCTTCCCACTCCTCATCATCCTCGTCATCCTCATCGTCCTCGTCGTACCACTCTCGCCGCTCATCCACGCGGCACAACCCCCCAAAGCACCGGGGCTGAGGCTCCGCGCAGTTCTTGAGAGAGAAGCACTGCACCTTGAAATCCTCGCTCTCCACCCACTCCGCTGTCCGTACATGCACAGGCTGCACCACCTCCCCTTGCTCCCCAACCAAACCAGACACAAGCAGCCCTGATCCGTCCCTCCCTGACCCCACTCCACTCTTACTCAATCGCCCTGACGGGCGGCTCCAGATGGGCGACAGCGGCCGGCACGGCCGGCAAGAAACAACCGGAGCGAGCCGCCCGGCCTGGTGCATGATCCCAGTGCACTGCACCGAACCCTCGTCTAAAGTCTCTAAGATTCTTGCTGATCTTCTACTCGCTGCTCTTCTACTTGCTGCTCCTCCTCCTTCTCCTCCTCCTTCCCCTCCCTCCACCGAATCCCTCTCGGAAATTTCCGATCGGGTGATGGAGAGGGTTGGCAGCAGCCGGGCTGAGTGTGAGCCGCCTCTGAAGGAGGTCCCGTACGGCCCGCACTGCGGCTGCAGGCAGCGCCTGTGGCGGATAACGAAGTCGTCTATAGGGAGTACGTGGATGGAGCACGACATGTGGGCTGAGCCGCTGGGGCGAGTGCGCAGACCGGCGCTGCTGCCTATGTTGGCTCCTTGCATTCCACTCCAGTCGCCGTCCTCACTGTCATCGTCGTCGCTCTCATCATGAGTTATGTACCGGCTTTGGCTGCTGCTCGCCGCCTTGCTTTGCTCCTGCTTCTTCTGCTTCTGCTCCTGCTCCTGCTTCTGCTCCTGAACTTGTTTCACCTCCTCCTGTTGCTTCCCCGCCCCTGACTCTTCCACCTCCTTTCCTTTCGCTTCCTCTGCTTCTTCCTCCTCTTCTTCCTCCTCCTCCTTATCTTTCTCTTCCTCTTCCTCGTCCTCATCTTCCTCTTCCTCATCACCACTTTCCTCCTCCTCGCTCTCTTCAACTTCCTCTTCACTACGACCCGTGACTGACCGCTTCTCCCCTTCCTCCTCTTCCTCCTCTTCCTCGTCCTCGTCCTCCTCATCTTCCTCATCCTCATCCTCCTCCTCATCCTCCTCATCCTCACTCCTATCCATCATCTCTCCAAGCTCCCTCTCAAGAGCCGCTGCTTCCTCCTCCAAGTCCACCAAACCAGCCTTACCACCACCACCAACACCCCTCCTCCCCTCCTCCTCTTCCTCCTCCTCCCTCATCTCCTGCACGAAGTCTTTGATTTTACGAGGAGCATGCTCCGCAGCGCCTGCCGAACCAAGCAGCATGGTTCGGATGGACCGGGGAGGGGTGATGGGTCGCCCAGTTACCTTGCGTTTATACAGCGATCGGGGCGGCCAGTCCGCATCTCCTTGCTGCTGCAGGTTCTTCCCGGCTGTCACCAGTGTCTCCTTCTCCCCGGTACCCTCCCCTTCTGCGGACACTCGACCTGCCGCTGACTCTGAAACTGACGCTGCCGCTTGCCCTGCTGCAGCAGACGTTGACGCCGCCACTACTACTGCTGCTGCTGCCAGTGCATTCGCCGCTGAAGCTGCTGGGTGTGGCTTCGGCAAGGCAGCGTCAGCAGGAACAGGAACAGCAGCAGCAGCAGCAGCAGTGGCATCAGCAGTTGCCGTTGCAGCGGGTGTGTGCGGCGATGCAGGAGTGGAAGGCACGCGGCCTTCCTGCGACTCCTTGAGAATGTCGCCACTGCAGCTCACCGTCACAGCAGGCCGCCTGGAGGCCACGCCCTGGGTCGCAGCAGCAGCAGGAGTTGCAAGCCTGGACCACGGGGGAGCGTGGGCACGAGCAGACGTTGTGGCAGTCACTCTCTTGCCATTGCCGCGGTCCGTTTCAACCTCATCATCATCCTCCTCCTCCTCCTCAGCTTCCTCAGCCTCCTCCTCGGAATCATCCTCCTCATCCTCGTCCACATTCACATTCTCATCGGAATCAACATCCTCCCTGACTCCTGGCACACTCACGTGATACCTCCCTTCCTCCTCCTCTCCCTCCTCTTCTTCCTCCTCCCCTCCTTTCCTCGCCGTTTCCTCCTCCGCTTCCTCCTCCTCCTCCTCATCATCATCCCCCTCCTCCTCCTCATCCTCATCCTCTTCCTCACCCTCTTCAACCCCTCTCCGCCTCTCCGATCGCGACGGCGCTTTCCCCAACCGGCTCTCCCCAATCTCCCACCCGCGCCCCGACCCCCAGCTCTTCTGCTTCGCATACAGAGCTGCAAGCCCCCTCCCAGACCCAAACCCAGCAGCCATGAGCTCCTGCTTCACACTCTCCACATCCTCCCTCCGGGTCTCCAAATTGGCAGAGTTGGCACGCGACAGTGGGCACACCTGCTGCTCCTCATACCCCTTCACGTCCACCTGGTTCGGGTGTATCGGCACGGCGAGCCGGTACGCTTCGGAGGAAGAGTTAGGCTCGGAGGATCCAGCAGGGTCGGAGAGGAGGAACGGGGTGGCGGAAACGGCCGACGGGCCGAGAGGGGGGCGGAGCGGGGAGGGACCAGAGGAGGTGCGTTCGGGGGGAGTGAGCGAGGAGAGGTGGGGCGGGGAGGAGAAGGAGAAGATGGAATGGGACTGGGGGGTGGAAGAGAAGACGGCTAGAAGGGGGTGCTTCATGGGGGTTGCGCCTGGGGGGAGGGCGCAGGGGGCGGGGGAGGGGGCGCGTCTAGGGTGGGGGGCGCTGTGGTGAGGAGGGTGGGAGCGGATGAATGGGTGGCTACGGGCATGAGAGGGTGGATGCGAGGGTGTGACAAGCTGGGACGGATGGGAGGTCTGTCCCTCCTGTGATGCTCCTGCTGATGATGACTTCATCCCTGCTGCTGCCGCTGCTGCCGCCGCTGCTGCGGCTCCTGCTGCTGCTACTGCTGCCTGCCCTTCTCCTGCTGCTGCTACTGCTGCCTGCCCTTCTCCTGCTGCTGGCACTGCTGCTCCTGCAGCAGTGGCATGAGGTGCCAACGCGGTAGGAGCAGCTGCCAGGAAAGGAGCGGATGGGGAGTGTAGCAGCAGGCTGGCATCTCCCGGCGCGGAGGGCGACGAGGAGAAGGGAGCCGGAACCACCGGGGCGAAGAAAAACCGGTGAGCACTCGAGGGCTCTTCCGGTGTTAGCGGGCGCGACGGCGCTTGGGTAAAGACTGTCACTGGGCACACCTGTTCCTCCTCAAAGCACGGAGGCAGCGCGTCCGATTCCACCATGGCAGAGGAGAGAGAGGCGGAGGCAAAGAGCGTGGCGGGTGCTGCTTGGAAGAAGGGAGACGGGGTGGATGCGGCGGACAGAGGCGAGGCGATGGCGACTGCGGCTGCGGCTGCTACGGCTGCAGAAACGGCCGCAGCGGCCGCCATGCCGACGGTGGCAGGCGGTGCTGTGGACGGCCGGACGAGGTCGCGACCTCCTCTTCCTCCTCCTGGTCCTCCCACTCCTGCTCCTGCTCCTACTCCCCCCGTTCGCAGCCCTCCTCCCCGTCTACCGCCCTCCCCACTTATGGCACGATGAGCCACAGTGGAAGCAGCAGCAGCAGCAGCAGCAGCAGCAGCAGCAGCAGCAGAAGCTGCAGCAAGGTTGGATGCACCAGGCGCACCAGTGACAAAAGCACCAGAATGGTGCTGGCAGGAGGAGGTAGAGTGAGAGGTGGGCATGCCAACAGATCTACCAGTCACCCGGCCAGCAGCAGCAGCAGGGGAGTTCGGAGGGAGAGGGCTGAGGTGCGGTGCAGTGTGGTGCAGCGCGGTGCGGTGCGGGGTAGAGAGGGGCTTGGCAAGAGTGAGTGTTGCTTCCGCCAGGGACAGCCCGCTGTAATTAATGTGCGCGGCCAGAGGTCCATACGGCTCATACATTTCCACTTGTAGGAGAACAGCAGCAGTGGCTGCTGCAGGAAGTTTCTGCTGCTCTTCTCCGTCCCCATCTTGCTTCCCGTCCCCGTCTCTATCTCCGTCATCCTCGTCTGAATCCGCCTCTTGAGCATCAAGTGTCAGCACGTCCGCCCCGCCACGACCACTGCTCGGTGCGCTCGCAATCCCTCCCAAACGAGCCCCTAATCGAAGCCCTGAAGCCCCAAGATCCCGCGTCTCTGCATTGAAAATCCCCTCTCCTCGTCGGGACTCCTCGCCCTCCTTTCCCCCCACAACGGCCTTCCCCTTGCTTTCTACCCCTGAACCGGCACCACGGCTTGCTGAAGCTGCTGCTGCTGCTACTGCAGGCAATCCCGCTGCAGCAGCGGCTGCAGCAAGTTCCTTGGCAGCAGAGCCAGAAACGGATTCCAGCACCCGCTGCAGCATCTGCAGCTGCTGTCGCTGGTGAGCGTGCTTCTGCAGAGCAATCATCGACTTGAATGCCCGAAGCTCCTTCTTTCTCCTCTTCTGCTCCTCAATCGTGCCTCCTCCTTCCCGGCCATGCCGTGTTGAAGCCAAATCGCTTTCTCCAGCTCCCACCTGTCTCGCACCCAGACCACTGCCAGCATCGGCATCACCATCAGCACCAACAGTAGATGCAACAGCCGCTACCACTGGAGTTTCAGCTGCTACTGCTTCTGGTGCTGCTGCTGCTGCTGCTGCTAATACTGGTGCCGGCACACCCGCCGCCGCAGCAGCTGCAGCCAGTTCCTTGGCAGCAGAGCCAGAAACGGATCCCAGCACCCGCTGCAGCATCTGCAGCTGCTGTCGCTGGTGAGCGTGCTTCTGCAGTGCAATCATCGACTTGAATGCCCGAAGCTCCTTCTTCCTCCTCCTCTGCTCCTCAATCGTGTCTGCTGGCTCCTTCTCCTCTTCTGCTGCTACTGCTGCTGCTTGCACCACATCCACCCCACCATCACCATCACCAACAGTCACAGCAACATCTGCCGAAACCGAACCTTCAACCACCGCTGCTGCTGCTTCTTCTGATGCCGCCGGTGCGTCTGTTGCTTCTGTCGCTTGTGGTGCTGCTGGTGCTGCAGGTTCTGCTACTGCTGCTGGTGGTGCTGGTGCCGGCACGCCTGCCGCAGAAGCGGCAGCGGCAAGCTCCTGAGCAGCAGAGCCAGAAACCGACCCCAGCACCCGCTGCAGCATCTGCAGCTGCTGCCGCTGGTGAGCGTGCTTCTGCAGAGCAATCATTGACTCGAACGCCCGCACTTTAGCCGACACAGTGCTCATGCGCACACCAGATCGCAGCGACGGATGCACGGAGGAGCGCAGGAACGGCCGTGATGGTGATGATGATGGCGATGGGGACGACGACGGTGCAGCGGGCAGGGCAGAGGCAGGTGCAACTGCAGGCACAGCAGGTGAAATCTCAGGTGCAACAACAGGTGAAAGCGGAAGTGCAAGTGGTGAGGATGAGGCCAGAGATGGGATTTCCAGCAATGCTTTCTCTGTCCTCTCGCTTTCCACCACTCCTTCCGCTTCACTTCCCCTTCCTGCCTTCTCCTTCTCTCCTGCTCCCCCTCCTCCTTCCATCGCCTTCTCGCCTGGTGCTTGAGCATCCTCCCCCACAGTATGAAGCAGGCCAGATGCAGCAGAGGCAGCAACACCAGCAGCGGCAGCAGTAGCCGTAGCAGCAGCAGCAATAGAAGCCGAGGAAGCAGCATCACCCGTTCTCCTCTCCTCCTGTCGCACCTGCTCCACTTCCCCGCTATCCTCCTTCTGTGACCCTTCACTCTCTTCCTCCTCCTCTCCTTCCCCTTCACCATCTTCCTCCTCATCCTCCTCCTCTTCCTCCTCCGTTGCCTCCACATCCTCCTGTCCCTCTTCCTCCTCTCGGAACCTCGTCCCCACCACCGCAACCGCAGCAGCAACATCCTCTTCATCCTCGCTCCCTTCACCTGCCGCCACCATCACCGCGCCAGCAGCAAGAGCACTCCTCCCACCCAAGCGCCGATCCTCTCCAGACGGAGGAGTCAGCAGCGCAGACGAAGGGGAAGAGGAGGCCGACACCTCATCATCATCATCTGATGCCTCTGGCACCGACGGCGACGGCAACGGCGATGGGGAAGGGGAAGGGGACACAGAACGGGACGGGGATGGGGTTGGTGACTGGGTTGGTGATTGGGTCGGTGATGCTGACTGTGCAGAGCCAAGCGGAGAATCCGGGGCCAGGCCCATCGAGGCTTCCAGGAACCTCTTCATATCCTGCTCCAGTGCAGCTGCCACGGCCTTGAGAGGGCTGTTGGCGGATCCTCGGAGCGCCGCCTTGATCTGCGCCAGCGGGCCTGCCACCGCTGCCAGCATCGCTGCCACGTTCGCCACGCCCTCCTGGACCTCCTCTGCCTCCTCCGGGGGGATAGCCTTCTGGGATCTGTCACCTCTGCCTTCTTTTCCTTTGTGTAACCTGGACTGCTTTCTAACTTCCGCTGCCCTCCTGCCCTCTTCCTCCTCTTCATCTTCATCCTCCTCCTCCTCCTCCTCCTCCTCCTCCTCCTCCTCCTCCTCCTCCTCCTCCTCCTCCTCCTCCTCCTCCTCCTCCTCCTCCCGATCCTCCTCGTCCTCCTCTTCCTCATCGCCCATCACCTCCTGCTCTTCACTTTCGCTTTCCCTGCTCTCCACCTCCTCCTCGTCCTCCTCCTCCTCCACCTCCTCCTCCTCCTCTTCCTCCTCCTCCTCGCTCCCCTCACTACTTGACCCATCAACCGCAACATCGGCCTCCTTCGGCCGGATCTGCTCCCAAGCAGAGCTATGCAAGGAGGACAAGCGTTGCTGCAGGCGCAGCCGGCTGGCCTCTGCAAAGAAGGTGGTGGAGCCGCCGCTGCTGCTGCGCGAGATGGCTTCAGATATCACATTCGATAGCTCCCGCCGTATGGCAATCCTGCCTGCTATAGGTGCAGCAGCGTTTTGAGGCGCTTCATAGGTGGTGACGCCGCTGCTGCTGTGGCTGCGCGAGATGGCTTCAGAGATCACATTGGAGAGCTCTCGGCGTATCGCAATCCTGCCTGCTATAGGTGCAGGTGCAGCAGGAGCAGCTGTAGGTGGTGTAGATGTCCCAGGTACACTAACAGCTGGTGCAGTTGAAGCAGGCGCAGTTGTAACGGGCGCATTTGTAACGGGCGCGGTTGTAGCGGGAGTGGTTGTAACGGCCACAGTTGTAACGGCCGCAGTTGTAACAGGCGCACTTGTAGCAGGAGAAGTTGCAGCAGGAGCGGTTGTAGCAGGCCCAGTTGCAGCGGGCGCAGTCGTAGCAGGCGCGACACAAGCAGGGGCATCATCATCATTTGCAACCGTGTGCATCTGTTTCTGAATCGACACAAAAGTCATCTGTTTTTTAGTCGACTCAAAAGTCAACGTAGCAGGCGCGGCACGAGCAGGGGCATCATCATTTGCAACCGTGTGCATCTGTTGCTGCCCTGCTGCAGACATCTCCGCACGAGGACTGCTGCTAGTCGTGGTATAGGCAGCAGCAGCGATAGCAGAAGCAGCAGCAGCAGCAGTGGTAACACCGGTGCTCTCTTTGGAAACTGCAACTGCCTGCTTAGGATTAGCTGCAGCAGTAGAAAGAGCAGTAGCACCAGCACTGCCAGTAGCAGGAGCAGCAGCGGCGGCCGCAACCAAACCAAGACCAACACCAGCAGCAGGAGCAGCAGCAGCACCAACCGCACCAGCACCAGCAGCACCAGCAGCACCAGCAGCAGCAGCATCAGCACCAGCAGCACCAGCAGCAGCAGCATCAGCACCAGCAGCATCAGCACCAGCAGCATCAGCACCAGCATCAGCAGCAGCAGCAACAGCAGCCCCACCTCGGCCCAGGCGGCCACCCATAATAGACTGCAGCAGCGCTGCCTGCCTGGACGGATCCGGTCGCGTCCACTTGCTGGAGTGCGCTCGAATCACGTTCCTCAGATCCGCTCCTTCGCCCTCCTCCTCCTCGTCCTCTACCGGCTCCTCTAGCAACTCTGCCAGCCCGCCACTCCCGGGAGGGCTACTCCCCGTCCTGCTGATCGGCCTCGTCTTCTGAGGCGCCTCAGAAGTCGCCTCAAGAGGCGCCTTGATCGTCGCCTTAATCGTCCCCTCTGAAGTCGCCTCAGAAGCCAAGCCACCAGTGACAGGAGGACTGCTTACTGGCCTGCTGATCGGCTCTGAAAGAACCGGCACACTCACCGGCACATTCACCGGCACATTCACAGGCACGCTCACAGGCACACTCACAGGCACGCTCACAGGCACACTCACAGGCGCACTAACTGGCACACTCACGGGCACGCTCACTGGCGCACTAACTGGCACACTCGCTTGCTCACTCAACCGCTCTGCACCGCTCTCTTCCACTGACTCCAACGCATCACTGCCGTGCGCAGCCTGGTGCGCCTCCAGAGAGTCACTAGTGGGGCTCTCCTCTAGCGCGTCCTCCCACTCCTCCACAGAGCTCGAATCTCCCTCACTCGCATCCGAGTTGAACTCGCCGCTCTCTTGCCTCGGAAGCACAAGCACGCTGCTACCTGCTGCCACCGCCGCCATGCTGCTGCCGCTCGCGCCGCCGCCGATCCTGCTGCTAGCAGGTGCCACGGTGCTGCGCGCGCCTGCTGTACCGCTGCTTGTGGCTGCCGTGCTGCTGCTAGAGCTCTGTGTGCCAACAGGGAACGTACGGGCAGAGGCGGACGCCTGAGTAGTAGCTTCCACCCGCTCCTGCAACAGCTGCAGCTGCTGCTGCAATAGCTGCAATTGCCTCTCCGTGTCTCGTAGCCGGTCCTCAGCATAAGGACCCTCCACAGCTGCACTCGCCTGCTGCTGACCTTTGTGCTCAGAGGCCTGTGCCGCACCCAACCGGTCTTCAGCATAAGGTCCCTCCACGGCTGCACTCGCCTCCTGCCCTCTGTGCTCAGAGGCCTTTGCCGCATCCAGCCGGTCCTCGGGAGGTTCCTCCAGAGTTGCACACGCCTCCTGGTCTCTGCTTCTGCCTCTGCCTCTGCCCCCCTCGTGGACAACATCAGCAGCACTGGCAGCAGCATCAGCGGTACTGGCAGCACCAGCAGCGGCAGAAGCAGCAGCAGCAGCAGCAGCAGCAGCAGCAGCCATGGCAACACCAAGAGCATCAGCGTCAGAAACTGACAAGCTGCTCCTGCCACAAAAGCCAGCACCAGCAGCAGCAGCAGCGGATGGCGAATCCACGTCTCCGGAACCACCACTCCCGACCGCACCACCTTTCCTCCCACTCGCAGACCCAAGCAGGCTGCTCCCACGCTCCAGGCTGACCTGCTGCCTGAGCCTGCGCCTGGGCGACAGAAACGTGCTCATGCGCGGAACCCACTGGTTGGCAGCACTCGGTGCCGTGCGCTGCCGCTGCAGCTGCTTCTGCGGGAACTGAAACCCTCCCAAGCCAGCACCAGCACTAGGCGAGGCAACCGCACCTGCAGCAGCAGCAGCAGCGGCGGCGGCGTCTACCCCTGCAGTAGCAGCTCCTGTGTTAACAGACCCTGCTTCTTCCCCCTTGGCTGCTGCGCGTGTCGTCTCTGCAAGCCCAAGCAGGACCCGAATGGGAGTGGGGCGATGTGATGGGCCGAACTGAAGACCCGGAAGCTGATTCTGCTGCTGCTGCTGCTGCTGAAGCTGAAGCTGCTCCAGCACTCCGCTACTGAGTGCGGACGCAACAGCACTCGACATCCCCATCCGGGCCGCCGCAGCTGAGATCTCCGCTGCTGTGAGCGAGGAGGGAGCAGCGGGGGAGGCGGTACCTGAGGAAGGCTGATCTCCCGAGTAGAGATATTCCAAGTAAGAGTCCTTGAGAGAGAGAGAGGCGCTGGAGGAGTTGGAGCTAGTGATAGAGACAGGGAGAGAGGACGATCTGCCCAGCGCTTGTAACGGAGACGTGGAGCCTTCTTTAGCGAGTTCTGTTACTGCCACTGCTAGAGGTTTGGCAGTAGCCATAGGCTCGGAAAGAGAAGCAGCGCTGGCTTCCCGAGCCTGCGCAGCAGCTTCGGTGGTGGATGGTTGGAAAGCAGGAGGGATGGTGGATGAGGAAGCGGGTTCTTGTTGAGAGGAGGAGGAGGAAGTTGAGGAAGCGGAGGAGCATGGGGAGGCAGCAGCGGAGGAGGAGGAGGAGAGGGAAGAGGAGGTGCGTGGGAGAGGGGAGTTGGGTGAGGTGGTGTCTAGCAGGCCAGCGGATGGCTGCTTCTCAAGAGGTGGCAAGGAAGGCCGTTGACTGCATTGACTGGATTGACCTGAAGCTTCAGAAGCGTCGCTTTCAACACCTGCTGCTGCTGCTGCTGCTGCTGCTGCTGCTGCTGCTGCTGCTGCTGCTGCTGCAACAGAGGAAGAAGAAGCGGAAGAGGAGGAGGAGGATGAGGAGGCAGCGGGGGAAGAGGAGGAGGAGGTGGTGGAGTAAGGGGCGTCAATACACCCAGACGAGAGCGCAAGTCGCTGCAGAGGCAGCAGGAGCGCTGAAGGGGTGACAGACACACAAGGGCCGTCCATGCCACCAGGTGCAGCACCTGCTGATGCAGACACTTGCGAGGGAGCAGAGAGGGAGGGGGATGCAGACAAGGAGGAGGAAGAGGAGGAGGAGGGGGTGAGGATGAGGAGGTTAGAGGAGGTAGAGCCACGAGCAAGGGAGGAGGAAGAGGCGGAGGCGGAGGAGGGAGGGGTGGGAGGGCGGGGAGAGGAGTGGGCTGGTGACATTGGTCTGGTGGGGGATAAGGGTGCAATGGAGGAGAGAGTGGGAGGAGCAGCAGCAGCAGCAGCGGCACTTAGAGGTGAGAGAGAGAGAGCTGCAGGGGAGGCATCTGTACGGCGAGAGAGCAGCGACTGGCGAGCGGGCGTGGAGCGTGGGGAGTGCGGCGAGTGGGGAGAGTGCGGGGAGTGCGGAGAGCGAAGGGAGTGAGGAGAAAGCTGCGGCGAGTGTGGGGATTTTGGAGAGAGGGAGGAGGTGAGGGAGGAGGAAGAGGTGTCTTTGCCTAAGGAGGCAAGGAGAGGTAGGGACGGTTGGAGCGGGTTCAGAGTGTCCCGAGCCAAGTCAACCTGTTCACGCTCCACCTCCGCTCCTGAGATCCGCATGCTGCTGCCACTCTCACCGCTGTCACTCTCACCGCTGCCACCACTGCTGCCACCAGTTCTGCCACCACTACTACCAGTGCTATCGCTGTTGCCTGCTGCCTCTTCCAGAGGTCTAGAGACATCAACCCCTTTACCACTCTCTTGCACATCCCCGCCTTCACTCTCCCTTCTCTCCTGCCTCCCATGACCCTCAGCTTCCTCTCCCTGCCTCACCCCAGCCTTGTCAAGGGGCTTGGGAGAAGAGAGAGATTTGGAAGGGGCGGTGAACTCCGAAGCAGCGGAGGAGGTTGGGGAGAGGGGTAGAAGCGGCAGGAGGCGAGGGGAATGGGGCGAACCAGGTCTCTGCATGGAAGACTGGTGTGAGGAGAGAATGTGGGGATGGGGGCAGAGCAGCACGGGGGATGGGGGCGTTGGAGTGAGAGGTTGGGGGAGGGGGAAAAGGGTGGTGAAAGGGAGGGGAAAAGGGAGGGGAGGGGGGGGGATGGGAAGTAAAACAAAGATTAAGACACGAGGTAGTGTGTGGGAAGGGAGAGAACAAAAGGGCAGGCCAAGTTATCAAACTGTATCTAGACAAATTGTAGCCATCTTTCAGAAAAGAGGGGAAGAGACAAGGCAGGGCTGGAGGGGGGAGGAAGGGGAGCAGAGACAGAAAGGAAAAGCGGATCAAGCAAATCAAGAGAGAAGGGAGGGCGGGAGGGCGGGAGGGCGGGAGGACGGGAGGGAGGGAGAGTAGGGTTGGAAAGCAAGCAGCAGGAGGCAGAGAGCGAGGGAGTGAGCGAGGTGCAAACAAGTGTGCGAAAGATTGAGGGAAGCAGAAGCAGCAGCGGAGGCAGGGCGGGAGCGGAAAACTAACCCCGAAAAGGAAGGAGTGGATGGAGAGAAGGATGATGGAGTCGAGCGATATGTTGCGATTCAGAGAGGAGGAAGGAGCAGCAGGTGGGGAAGCCGAGGAGGAGGGCGAGGAGAGTGAAGAGAGCACAAGTGGTGATGGGGTGAAGGAGGAGGAGGAGGTGGAGGTGGATGCAGGGCGGTCTGAAGGAGACGCAGAGGTGTGCGAGGACGATGTGCTGCCAGACAAGCGCTGACTGTCTGTAACGCCTATAGACCCGCTGCTGCTGGTGTCGATGGGAGTGGAGTGAGGCGAAGAAGAGGAGGAGGTGGAGAAGGAGGAGGAAGTGGAGCTGAGAGGAGTGGGAGAGGAGGCGGGGGAGCGGCGGCGGGGACGGGGATGGATGGGGCTGCGCGGAGGGGAGGATCGGTGGGGCGGCGGGTGAACGCGCTTGCGGAAGTCCCTCTCGTGCATCTGATGCGATGGGACACGATGCGATGTGATGAGTGCACCCCGAGTGGGTTGCGTTGATGCATCATGCACGCACATACCACACGCAAACATCCACAGAAGCATGCGAGCACGCACGCACAAGCACGCACAAGCACGCACGCGCACATGCATAAACAGAAACACGCACGCATGCAAGCAGATACGCACACACATGCATGCAAATACACAGGCACGCATTGGTCAGGAGGGAGAGGGGGAAGGACGAATCAGGGGAAGAGGACAGAAGAAAAGCAGTAGGGAGGGGGAGGCAGAAACTAGTGGGAAGCTGCTCTAACAGCCTTATAACACTTGGGTCGATCCAATAACCACTTGGACAAGTTGCCAAGCATATAGACATGCCTCACGAGCCTTCGAGAAATTTCCAAAGTGATCTTACCAGCCTGATGACAGGAGCAGCTGCGGATCCCGACGATCCCTGTGCCGCCGCTGCAGCAGCAGCAGCAGCTAGCGCTGCCTGTGACGGCGACGGGGGCGAGCACGGCGGGGAGCGGGGCGGGGACTCGGACGGGGAGTGTGGCGGGGAGGCGCGTGGGGAGGAGGGGGAGGAGGAGGAGCGCAGGGCAGTCACGCAGGAGCCATCAGTGGAGAGCCGCATGCCCCGCCGCTCCAACCCATGCACACCCATCCCCACCCAATCCTCCAACGCACTCAACCCATCCCCATCCCCATCCCCATCCCCATCCCCATCCCCATCGCCATTTCCTTCTTCTTGTCCCCTTTCTCCTCCCAAGACTCCATCCTCCTCCTCCTCTGCTTCTCGCGCTGTCCCTTCCCCTCTCCTATACGCTTTCCCTTTCCTGTCTCCTTCCTCCTCCCCATCCTCACACTCCTCTGCTGCGGATTCTCCAGACATGGACCCTGCCGAGCCTGACCCTTTGCCCTCCCCCCAAACCAAACCTGCTTCCAGCCCTCCCAGCAAAACCATCGACCCACCTCCACCCCCCCCTCCACTCCCTCTTCCTCCCTTCCCCACCTCCTGGTCCGAACCTCTCTCACCCTCACTCCCCCCTTCCAACCCACTCCCCTCGTCACTCTCCTCCCCTCTCCTCGCCCTCACCCTGCCCCTCTTCCCACCCTCCTCACCCTCCTCCTCCTCCGACCCACTCCTACTCCCCCAGCTGCTCCTATCCTCCTCTGCATCTGCCTCGGTCAGTCTCCGGATATACTCGTCCTCCTCCCAGCTTCTCCTGTCTTCCCAGCTGCGCCGGTCATCCCAGCTGCGCCTCTCGTCCCACTCATCACCAGAATCTCTCTCCCTCTCCCGCTCCCAGCTCCGGTCACTGCGCTCACTCCTCTCGCTCCGTACGCTCCGTTCCTCGTCCTCCTCGTCCCCATCCGACTCCCCTCGCTCTCGCTCTCCCCCTCGCTCTCCCCCTCGCCTCCCCTCTCCTCCGTTCCTGCCTGCCCAATCCCTCCTATCTTTCTCCTCCTCATCGTCATCGCTCCTTTTTGCTCGCTCCTCTCGCCCCCCAGGTGGTGTTTCCGCATCTGATGTCATCTCCGGCGTTACATCTCCCATCATTCTCGGTGTCAACTCCGACTCGGAAACCATCTCGGGTGTCAAGTCCCCGCCCGATTCCCCTCCCCTCGGTGTCAACTCAACATCGGATGTCATCTCCGGTGTCAACTCGCCGTTCCTCGGTGTCAACTCGGAGTCCGAAGCAAACTCCGGTGTCAACTCCCCCCCCCTTTGTACCACCATCCTCGGAGTCAACTCGAAATCCGACACCGTTTCAGGCGTCAACTCTCCCGTACTCACATCCACCTCCACATCAGCAGATGCCACATCAGCAGACGCCACGTCAGCAGCCGGCACGTGTCCACCTCGCCGGAGCAGCTTGGGAGTCGGCTCAGCATCCGAGCCTGAGCCGGAACCATCGTCCCTCTCGGGATTGGCATGCAGAATTAGGTCGAGCTCAGTCGCAGAGAGACCGCTAGATCGAGGCATTGGAGCAGGCGCCACTGCCACAGGCCACCCCCCTGCAGGCACAGCGTTCCCCCACGAGCCACTGCCAAACGCACCACTGCCACCACTGGTAACAATCACACCACTACCACCAGCATCACCAGCAGCAGAAGCAGCAGCAGCAGCACCAGCACCACCAGCACCAAAGCCATGGGTAGCAGCAGCAATGGCGCCACTGCTACTCGTTTCTCCGCTGGCAGTGGTGCCACTCTCGACCATAGCAGCACTCTCACCCTTGCTCGCACCCTCGCCCTCCACTCTCCCCTCCTCCCTCTCCGGCCTCACAGAAGGCTCTACCCCCCTCTCTGCTTCCTTCCTTGCCTCCCCTCCCTCCGCCTCCCGCCCCGCTGCTGAATCTTGTCCTGCTGCTGCTCTTGCTGCCGCAGTCTCGCTCTTATCTTCCACACTCACCTCCCTCTCTCCCTCTGCCTCTTGCTCTGCCACCCTCTCCCCATCCTCCGATCCACAACCCCCACTGAACCCCCCCTCGCTTCTCTCATCATCGCTGTAGCTCCCCGAGCCAGACGCCGTCCGCGAAAGCGATCCCGAACCGGACCCCGAGCCAAAGTCCGAGCCTGCTTCCGAGCCAGACTCGGAGCGTTCGAGCTCGGAGTCAGAGACGGGAGGCGAGCGCAGCTCAAAGAGATCAAGGTCAGGCCCGTAGGAGGAGAGCACTCGCGCCACTCTGCCTCCCCACCCGACCACCGCCCCCCCACTCCCACCCGCACTCTCCAAACCTGCCCCTGCCCCGGCCTCTGCAGACCCATCAGCTGCGCCAGCAGCAGCAGCAGCACCGGCGACGTTTTCATCCTGACCTTGACTGGCTTCCTCGGAAGCTTCAGGCATGCGGTTCTCTGATGTTACTGCCTCTACCACTTGCTCCCCACCCCCCCCACTCTCCCCACTCTCTCTACTCTCCCCGCCCTCCCCACCCTCACACACACTCATCGGCAACGCTGCCTCTTCCTCGCCCCTCCCCTCTTCCCCTTTTCCACCTCCCTCTTTCCCCTCCTCTCCTTTTACCACCCCCTCTTCCTCACCTTCTGATGCCTCCCTCTCGCCTTCCAAGCCTCTCTCCCCGCCCTCACTCTCGCCTCCACACTCACTCGCCTTCTCACTCCCCTCACTCCCCTCCTCTGCATCGTCACCGCTATCACCTCCTCCAATCGATATCACCTCAACAACAGAACCCTCCTTCTCCAACTCCCCCCTTTCACTGCCACAGACGCTCCTATCCTCGCTCCCCTCACTCCCACTCTCGCTCCCATTCTCACTCGCCCTCTCGCCCTCACCCTCGCACTGGCCCTCTCTCCCCACCTCCTCCTCCTCCTCCTCCTCCTCCTCCTCCTCCTCCTCCTCCTCCTCCTCCTCCTCTCCCTCCCTTCCTATCTCTCCCCCCATCTCCCCCATGTCTTCCTTCCCTTCCCCCTCAACCGCCGCAGCAGCCGGCACAAGACTTGACCCAGAGGAATCCTCTAGAGCAGCAACAGGCCTACCAGGAGACGACTCTCTTGACCGCGTTGACTCCCTCGCCTCTACTGACCCTGCTGGCTCGAGCTCCTCCGTTGACTCTGTTGACTCTGTTGACTCTGCTGTTGATGTCCCAAGCACCCTCGTCTCACTCACCTTCTCACTCCCGCCCTCACTCTCTCCGTCGCTCCCCCCCTCACTCTCCTCCCGACTGCTAACCACCACATGCACTGCAGGGCTCATTGATGCCTCCTCCTCTGCCTGCTGCTCCTCCCCTCCCGCTCCCCACTCGCTCTCCTTCTTAAAATCCCTCTTAAGTTTCTTCAGCATCGCCTGTATCTCAACCGTCAGCTTCTCACTTTCCTCCTCACTCTCCTCCTCACTTCCCTCCTCACTCCCCACCTCACTCCCCACCTCGCTCCCCTCCTCGCTCCCCCGCTCACTCCTCCCCTCGCTTTCCTTATCCCTCTCGCCATCCTCCAACTTCTCAACCTTTCCACCACTTCCCATCTCTTCCTCTCCCTCTCCTCCCGTCTCCTCAACCTCCGTCACCTTATCACCCGCCTCTCCATCGCTCTCCTCTTCAGTCACCGCACGACCGCTCGGTACCGGAGCCACCACCACCGCAGCAGCAGCGCCCTCCGTACTCCTTGTTGCGTCTTCCTCTTCCTCTTCTTCCTCCTCCTCCACCTCCTTCTCCTCCTCTTCCCATATCCTTTCCAGCGTGCCCACGCGCCTGTGACCGGCAGAGCACCACCCGCGCCACGACTCGGGCCTTTCCACATCCTCCTCCTCCTCTTCCTCCTCTTCCTCCTCCTCCTTCTGCTGCCGTTGCCGCTGCTGCTGCTGCTGCTGTTCCTCCTGCTGCTTTTTCTCTGCCATGTCTTTGGATACATAACTGCTAGACTCCACTTCGTGCAATCCCAAGACACCTGCTCCTGCTCCTGCTCCCTCACTCCCACCCACGGCCATCTTCTCGTCCTCCTCCTCACCATACCCTCTCTCCCCCCACCTCTCACTACCCTCATCGCCCCCTCCCTCAGTCCTCCTCTCCCCATCATCCGACAAACTCTCCCTCTCCGTAACACTCTCACCATCGCCCACACTCTCTCTATCCCCCACACTATCCTCCACACTGCCCCGAATACTCTCCCCTTCCCCGTCACTCTCCCCCCCTCTCTCCCCATCACTCCCACTCTCACTTCCCCAGCTCCGATCCTCCAACTCTCCCACCGAACCACCCTCAGACACGGGAGGCGACATCAGGTCAAACAGCTCCGGCTCGCCGAACCTCGTCGCTAGCTTCGCCGCCCATTGAGTTCGAGCCGAGCCCTGCGCATGGCCCAGCAGCATCGGCGCAGGAGCCGAACCACCCTCCGCGCCACTGTCACCGCCACTGGCGGCGCCAGGAGCGGGGGTGGCGCCCACCGCGGCGCCGGCGGAGGCTGCCTCGAGCGCAGCGGAAAGCGGCGACAGCGGGTGCTGCTGGCGGGGTTGCGCGGAGAGCGAGCTCGCGTGGCTGGCGGCGGAATCGTGTCCGCCTCCGCCGCGGCCGCCGGCACTTGCGCCCATCCGTCTCCGCAGCATCTCCTGCAGCTCCTCCAACGCGCTCGCCTCGCTCGCCGCGCTGTCTCCCGCGCTTGACGCGCCGTCGGCCTCGCGAAGCGCGCGCGCGTCGTCGTCGTCGTCGTCATCCTCGCCGTCATCACCGTCGTCGTTTTTCCCGTCGTCACCGTCGTCGCCGTCATCGTCGCCGTCCTCGTCGTTGCCAAGCCCGTCGGGCCCGGCAGCCTCACCGTCTGATTCAACGCCGCCACCGCCGCCGCCGCTGCCATTGCAACGGTCACTGCGTTCGCCGCGCATGGTATCGAGCCCGTTCCGTCGCTGCTGCTCCAAAGCCAGACTCCGAGAAGCGATGCCTTCGACGCTGTCGCCATCGTCGTCGCTGTTGTCCCCGTCGCCGTCGCGGTCGTCTGCCCCGGCTGCCAAGTCGCCGCCGTCGCCGTCGTCGCCGTCCTCGTCATCCGCATCGTCCGCATCGTCCGCGTTCTCCGCGTCCGTGCGGCCCTCTTCCATCTCCTCTTCCACTTCGCCTTCGTCGTCGCCTTTCGCACGGCTGCCGTTTTCCCTGTCGCGCGAGTGCTGGTCATCATCACCATCATTGCTTCCTCTCTCTGACCTTATTTCATCCCTCTCTCCGTCACTACCTCCGTCAATTTCGCCGTCACTCTCTTCCTCCCCTCTTCCACATTCCTCACCCACCTCCTCGCCATTACTCTCCTCCTCCTCGCCCCTCTCCTCGTATCCGCGCAACTTTGGTTGCAACGAACCAGCACTCCCGTTCTTCTCCGCCTCCTTTATCCCTCCCGCTTCGCCCTCCTCTTCCCTTTCCTCACGTGCCCCCATTTTCTCTGAAACCTGCCCGTCCATTCGCCCCTCGCCCTCCTCATCGCCCGCCTCGACGCCTTCTCGACCCACTCCCCGGGGCTGCAACTCGTAGTTTACCGCAACGCCGTGTCGTTCTCTGGACATCACCTCCCCGTCGCGTTGCGCCTCTCTCTCGTCCCCCGCGCCTTCAGCATCCGCGAAGCCCATCGAGTCGCCCTCCGGATGACCGTTCTGCAAGCCGTGATGGCTGCTACCGCTACTCCCGCTGCTGCTGCTGCTTCCGCTGCTACTGCTACTGCTGCTGCTGCTGCTGGCCCCGCTTTCTTCTTTGCTCGACTCCAGACTAATTCCAAACCTTTCGCTACTGCTTACGGCTTCGAAACTGCCACTTCCGCTCTCGTCACCTTCGCCGTCTGTTAGCACGGTAACGAGATCCCTCACGTCGTCTCCGCCGCTTACGGCAGCTTCCCGTCTCGTGACGATCTCTGTTAACGCAATATTGTCTTTTCCGTTTGGAAATGGCGGGGCAGATCCCTTTACGCTTGGAGAAACTATAACCGTTCCGTCAACCCCGCATTCTGTCTGTATATCTCGTTGAACGTCGCTGCCTGTGTATAGACCCATATTGTTAGTGATAAATGGTTAGGTAAGCTTCACTGCACAACTATGACACAAACACGACCGGCGCCATTGCCCTCCCAACAGTGCACGTAAAACAGTCTGTCCTCCTTAACTTAGTCTGCGAAAATCACCACCGCAACGTCGAAAACAATTCTCGGATACAAAAATCACTACGAAATGCTGAATAAGTTACGAGACTTCTCCGCTAACAAACCCTATCATCGTAGCATTGACACTGCTTTACGGCTCAGCATGGGCGTGAATCCTGAAGCTTGTCTACGGGGTAATTACATTCTGGGTAACCAACATTGAGCCCGCTGACGTCAAAAGTCACCTACGTGGCTCGATGGTACCCGTCAGATCATGCGCGCCCCTTGGTGGTACCCATCTTCCCTCCGTGGTACCCATCTTCCCTGCGTGGTACCCATCAACTGTGCGCGAATTCCCTGACTGGTACCGCAACATTTCAACCGAGCTGTACACCGTACAACAAGGGTGTCAATGCGTTTTTCACTATATTGTCTTAACGTTTACAAGCTCAATAGAGTCCGAAGCCCGAAGTGCCACATAATCGGGTCAAATTTTCAAGCGCATTACCTATAATAAAGTGTAGAAGAAAAGCTGAATTTAGGAAAACATTTATTGTGTAGATTTCTTTAGGCTCATAAACATCCACATTATAACGTGCTATAATTTAAATCACCACAGATATATTGCATCAACCGAAACACAAAAATTAACATCCGTGTAACAAACGATCAACTGACACGTAATATATATATTGACTTAAGGTTATTTGATTTTCATTAATGGGTATTTTTTTGTTTCCAGAAACCAACGAATATACGTATTATTTGTTTATGCTTTTCTATTTAGCTGTGGGGGTACATGCTCAATTTATTTGTATACAACCTTATGAACTTTGTTCAGATTACCAACTGCGCGCTGAGAAACGTGGTCGTAAGATTCACGCTACCTATCGCTCAGTGATGTGAGCTTGCAAAGGTTCGGAGGTAACGTGAGGATTTTAGAAGGGGAGTTGATTTTTTCTAGGTTGCACTGTATCCAGTGTAAGGCACGTTCAAAGGTATTAATGTTCAAATGTCTTTGAACGTGCCTTACACTGGATACAGTGCAACCTAGAAAAAATCAACTCCCCTTCTAAAATCCTCACGTTACCTCCGAACCTTTGCAAGCTCACATCACTGAGCGATAGGTAGCGTGAATCTTACGACCACGTTTCTCAACGCGCAGTTGGTAATCTGAACAAAGTTCATAAGGTTGTATACAAATAAATTGAGCATGTACCCCCACAGCTAAATAGAAAAGCATAAACAAATAATACGTATATTCGTTGGTTTCTGGAAACAAAAAAATACCCATTAATGAAAATCAAATAACCTTAAGTCAATATATATATTACGTGTCAGTTGATCGTTTGTTACACGGATGTTAATTTTTGTGTTTCGGTTGATGCAATATATCTGTGGTGATTTAAATTATAGCACGTTATAATGTGGATGTTTATGAGCCTAAAGAAATCTACACAATAAATGTTTTCCTAAATTCAGCTTTTCTTCTACACTTTATTATAGGTAATGCGCTTGAAAATTTGACCCGATTATGTGGCACTTCGGGCTTCGGACTCTATTGAGCTTGTAAACGTTAAGACAATATAGTGAAAAACGCATTGACACCCTTGTTGTACGGTGTACAGCTCGGTTGAAATGTTGCGGTACCAGTCAGGGAATTCGCGCACAGTTGATGGGTACCACGCAGGGAAGATGGGTACCACGGAGGGAAGATGGGTACCACCAAGGGGCGCGCATGATCTGACGGGTACCATCGAGCCACGTAGGTGACTTTTGACGTCAGCGGGCTCAATGTTGGTTACCCAGAATGTAATTACCCTTGTCTACGCGTTCCCTTCCCTATTGCCGCTGCCTCTACGTTTGGACTCTTGTCTCTGCTGCTGGTGCTCCAGCCCCCTTCCTCCTCATCCACCTTGAGTCTCTGGATAGTTCTTCAAGATGAACGCAAACAAGGTGCTTTCCGGGTAGGAAAAAAAACTTGCGCACGTCACTGCATTTACTACAAGCGCAACAACCGTCAATACAGTAACCTGGAAATTCCACTGCTGCTCTTCAACGTCCTCACGGGCAGCTCGGAGAAGCCAAAACCTAGCTGTTGCTGCTGGGAACTAGGGTACGTGGGGGTTGGGCAGGTGGACATTGCTCTGCTGCCCCCGCCGACGCATGAAGCAGCTCCGCCACCTGAAAAGCGAGTTTGCGCAAAACGAAAAGTTGCATTTCAGGTTCCCCCAGCCCAGCCCGAGCGGCCTCGCTGCTTGTCCCCCTCCCCTCATGATTGCTGTGTTGGTCGCTTGCCCCACGCGATGCTAGGAGAGGGTCTGTCGAATGACAGGTTGGAGACCTCCACGCTGGACTGGTTGGAACTTTTTTCTGGGTCCTTCTTCCTGATCTCTTGATTAGGGCATCCAAAATTGCCAAGCGGGGAGGAAAAATCAGTGGTGGTTCGCTGAAAATTGTCTCATCTGTAAAGTGTTCCGGCACGACCAGCCACGATCTATGCATCCACGTAAGATCAGGCCGCGACAGTTGGTGCGAAACTTGCCTAATCAAGCAATCGTGCGACAATTGTCCAACTGTGTGGGTCCTCGCGCGTAGTGGTAACAGTCTCGCATGAGCCAATGCACCTTGGACGCACGAAGTCGCACGACGACGGCTAACTATCAGTTGCTCGCCTATTTCGTCGATTGGCCCCCACCTCGTTTGTGGAGACCTCTGGTTTGGTGCCCAGCCCAATCTTCAAATCTCCTGAACCCTGATCCAGCACGGAGGCGCGCGCGGAGAGTTGACGTTATGAACAGAAACCCACGTAAGCTCTCAATTCCAGAGCTGCTCAGCAAGAAACTTTGTTTCCTCAAGAATATGAGTTTGCTGACCGTGAATATTCATCCTCACCTGATGCTGTGTTGCACCAGTCACAAAAACAAGTCTAGTAGTGTGGTAACGCTTCAGAGAGGGGAAAGTCGACCGAGAAGAAGGGACTACGGAAACGAATGCCCTCACCTAACAAGGTATCCGAATTCCAAGTCCATACAAGGGCTTGTCCTCGAGATATACAAACGTGTGGGCAGGGCAGGCAACCTCAAGTTAGAACGCAATCGCAAACATGTGGATCACTAAAAACAGCCCCCTTTACCCCTCACTCACAAATAACTAACCGTAAATGCAATGATACAAGCAAAGTAAGATTGTAGAAAGTGGTCCAGCAAGCAAGTACTAGTGTGAGCGAAGGCATGAGCCAACACTAAATAGAAAAAAAAAACCATTATGATGCACGAATGCAAGCTAGGCTATGCAATACTGGCAGCGACACTTGGACGAGTCTTGAACCGTAGGCCATACATGATGCATCGCTGTAGTAGGCGGAGTCTAGCAGTGCAGAGCTTAACGTGCGAATGCAATGCTACAATAACAAAGAGCCTGCAAGATTCTTGTAGCGGGCTTTTGTATAAACTAACTTTGAAGAAACGCTTGTGTCTGATTGTAGTTCATGAACCCTATGCAAATTTTTAAAGTAATTACAGAAAGAATCCTCATAGTGAACATTTTGTTTCTGTTGGGCTAAGATGAGCCCTAAGATTAGAGACTTGTCTTAGTAGAATATTGTTAGAATCAGCAAGCACGAATGAGTTGTATTGAGCAGGTGAAGATACAAGTACCAACCCTAAATAGGTTGTACCCTACATAGGCTAACCCACTACAGCCTACACAAGTACAAAAGTAGTTTGACACACCTCCACAGGCTAAGTGGGAGATAGCAAACACAACAGATGGTCACAAGACCAGTCAAGCAAGAGAACAAAGCAACGCAAAGCCCAGGGTGGATCTCAATGACACCACACAATCTGAGCACAAGCAAGCGGCCACAAGGCCAGTTCAAATGCAGAGGTATGATAGCAAGGCAGTACACTGTTCACAACCTAGCAAGAGGAAACATGCAGGTATAAAGATATATATCAGTGTACAACAAGAGCAAGTCAAGCAACCAGCAGGTGAGGCAGAGTGGGCACAAGCCCAAGAGCAGTGCAGAAACGCTGATGATCACCAGACCCAAGAGCCTTGGTGAAGACATCAGCAGTGTTGGCCCGAGAGGCCACGTAAGCAAGGCGCAGCTGACCACGCTGCTGCAGCTCACGTGCAAGGAAGTAGCGAAGAGCAATGTGTTTCGTTTTGTGCTCCAGTCTCTGCTCGCGGCACAAGGCAAGCATTGCCTTGTTGTCGACGTACAGAACTGGAGGAGAACGAGGCCGCTCCCCCAAGTTGGTCAGCAGGTAGGTCAGCCAGCGTAGCTCCTGCCATGACCACAGCGTAGATCTCGCCCTCACAGCTGGAACCAAGCACAGAAGAAGAACAAGTGGACCTCCACGAGACAGAACCAGAGCCAAGACTGAACGTGTAACCCTGTGACGAACGCTGAGTCGCCTAGTCGTCGGCCCAAGAAGCGTCGGAGTGTCCTGTGAGTACCACTGACCCCCGTCCTCCAAGCACGAGCCCCAT